TTTGGTGCCTATTACTCCATTATAATATCTCATGGTAATACTAACTTAAGTTTGATTTGTTTATTTGAGTCAATATTTATTACATTACTTATTTACTTACTTAATTTGGCTGTGCCGGGTCTTAGCTATGGCACTTGGGACCTTTCATTGCAGCCCATGGACTCTCTAGCTGAGGGGTTGCAGGCTCAGTGCAATTGTGGTTCACATGGGCTTCAGTTGCCCAGCAGCACGTGGGATCTTAGTTCCTGGACCAGGGATTGAACCTGCATCCCCTGCATTGCAAAGCAGGTTCTTTAACCACGGGACCACCAGAGGTCCTGAGTCTATATTTTTAAATAATTAAATGTCATGATTGTTATCTTGTTGATGGATTGTTTCTTTTATTGAGCCACCAGGGAAGCCTGATAATATATACTAATTTTATATATTTTAATATTATATAGTATGTCTTGTAATATTTTGCTGTAAGATACAGCAAGAAAAAGATAAAAAAGTATACATCATGCTCACAACTAGAAGATAAATGATAATAACATCTTGGAATTCATCCATTTTTCCATTCTCTCCTATGTGTGTATGTGTGTATAATATTCTTTAAAATTTTTGGTGCCTATTACTCCATTATAATATCTCCTGGTAATACTAACTTAAGTTTGATTTGTTTATTTGAGTCTATATTTATTTCATTACTTATTTACTTACTTAATTTGGCTGTGCCGGGTCTTAGCTGTGGCACTTGGGACCTTTCATTGCAGCCCATGGACTCTCTAGCTGAGGGGTTGCAGGCTCAGTGCAATTGTGGTACGCATGGGCTTCAGTTGCCCAGCAGCATGTGGGATCTTAGTTCCTGGACCAGGGATTGAACCTGCATCCCCTGCATTGCAAAGCAGATTCTTTAACCACGGGACCACCAGAGGTCCTGAGTCTATATTTTTAAATAATTAAATGTCATGATTGTTATCTTGTTGATGGATTGTTTCTTTTATCATTAAGAAGTCTTTCTTCACTCTTCAAATGCTTACTTATCACTTTATATTGAAGTTCATCTTATATTAGTACTATTACTCTATTGCATTATCACTTTGAGTAGTGTTTACTTCGTATGTATTTTCCACTCTCTTTATTTGCAACATTTGTTTTAAAATAATTAGATATGTCTTTTGTGTTTTTAAATCATGTATCTGTCTTTCTACAGATCAGTTCATATCATGGGTGTTTACTGTGATTTCAGATGTATTTGGGCATGTTTATTCCAAATTAACTTGTTAATTTAATCTTCTGTTAGCCATACCTGTTCTTGGCTCATTTATCCTCCTTTTCTGCTTCTTCATTTTTTAAAAATTGATACAGTTTTAGTTCCTTTTGTTCTCCTGCTGTTTCAGAAATTTTGATTTTTAGTCTATTATTTTGGTGGTTAGAATTAATGAAATTTTAACAGTATGCCTCTAACTTTATATTATCTTCCCATGTTTGTAGTTATTCAGTATTTGTCATCTTCCTGCATACAGTAAAGAGCTCAGAGTGTTTTAACAATATGCTGAACTTCTTCCCTATACTTTCATCTTATAATTGTTTATCTAGAATTCTAGTTTCACTTTTTTTAAACAGAAAAATTATTGAGCTTTTAAAAAAATATATTCCACAATATCTAAAACTGCAGCTACATTTTACCACCATCTATGCTTACTATAGTGGTTCAGTGGTAAATAACTCTCCTGCCAATCCAGGAGATGCAGGTTTGATCCATGGGTCTGGAAGACCCCTGAAGAAGGAATGGCAACCTACTCCAGTATTCTTGCCTAGAAAATCCCATGGACAGAGGAGCCTGGCAGATTACAGTCCATGGGGTCGCAAAAGAATCAGACATGATTTAATGACTGAACAACAACAAATGCTTACTATAGTGTTTTGTCCCCTGCCCCTTTCTTTTGGGTACAAGTTATTTCTTACAGAGATTGTATACTTTTGGTAATTGTTTCAGAGAGGGTCTCAGTGGTAAACACTTGTCTTCATATTTATTTTGTCTTCATTTAAAAAAAAATGATTATCTAAGCTGGCTATAGAATTCCAGGCTAGCAGTTATTTTTTTCCTCAGCCTTTTAAAACTATTACTCCAATGCCTTTTGGTATCAGTTGTTGCCAAATAATACCAAGTGAGCCTAATTGCCTTCTTTTCTTTCTAGTAAGGTTTAAGATTTTCTTTATCTTTTTCTACAGTTTTAATTTAGTATATCTAAGAATGAATTAATTTTTGTTTATCTGGCTTTATGCTTGGTGGAAACTTTCAACCTGAATATTCTGCTTTATTTTTCAAGTTTGAAAAATAATCAGCAACTTACCCCTTTACATACTACTTCTATGCTATTTCTTCAATTTTATTTTTCTGGACCTCTATTAGAAGTTTATTAATTTTTGTCCATCTATGTCTCTTAACTATTAATACTTTTCATTCTTTATTTCTTTGTACTGCATTCTGTATATTTTAACAGTTATTTTAGTGCAAAGTTGGAGGAAAGGGTGGGCCTCAATGCCTAGATATAAAATATAAAAGATGTCATCTCACCTAAAAATTCTACCCTCTTCTTTCAGCTATTCTCTTCTCAATCTTTAAAGAAAATTTATGCATTTTATAAAGGTCTCAGAAATAGAGTTTGGTTCATTTAAACAATACATTAGTCAATGTGCTAGCCCTCCAGATAGAGAGGTCTGAGACATGGTTCCTGACCCAAGGGTCAAGGTTTTTATAACTTAGCATGGGACAGAAACATAAACAAATCATTCTAAGAGCATATGTGTGGCAAGTGTTATAAGAGTGACATAAATAGGATGACCTAAGGTTAAAGAAAAGGGTATTTGGTTCTATCTAGCAAGTCAGGGAGATTGGGAGGAGATGATACTTGAACTGGACTTTGTGAAAAAATTAACACTCACAGAAGAGATATAGACTAAATGGGACCCTCAGCCTCTGAGTTTACTGAAAAGATAAGTTTCATTTAGAAACCGAATGCATTTTTCCCCCCTCCAATGATGTACCACCTCACACTAGTCAGAATGCCCATTGTCAAAAAAATCAAACAATAAATGCTGGAGAGGATGTGGAGAAAAGGGAACCCTCTTGCACTGTTGGAGAGAATGTAAATTGATACAGCCACGATGGAAGCATTTTCTATGGCCAGTGTGACAGTTTGCTCTTATTTCATGGGGTTTTCACCTCTGCGTGTATGCTAAGTCACTTCAGTCATGTCTGACTCTGTGCGACCCTATGGACTGTAGCCTGCCAGGCTCCTCTGTCCATGGGATTCTCCAGGCAAGAATACTGGAGTGGGTTGCCATGCCCTCCTCCAGGGGATCTTCCTGCCTCAGGGATCAACCTGCATCTCTTATGTCTCCTGCATTGGCAGACAGGCTCTTTACCACTAGCGCCACCTGAACATGAGTGTACAAATATCTATTTGAGTGCATGCGTGCTAAGTCATTTCAGTCATGTCCAACTCTGTGTGACCCTAAAAGGACTGTAGCCTGCCATGTTCCCCTGTCCATGGTTTTCTCCAGGCAAGAATACTAGAGTGGGTTGCTATTTCCTCCTCCAGGGGATCTTCCCGACCTAGGAATCGAACCCTCATCTTTTACATCTCCTACATTCTTTACCACTAGTGCCACCTGGGAAGCCCCATCTATTTGAGTTACTGCTTTCAATTCTTTTGGACATATATATATACCCAGAAGTGAAATTTCTGGATCATACATTCATTCCATGAACAGAGGAGCTTGGCGGGCTACAGTCCATGGGGTCACAAAGAGTCAAATACAACTGAGTGACTAACACACATGTTAATTCTCTGCTTAATTATTTGAGGAACCACCATCCTGCTTTACACAAGTGGCTGCGCCAATTTACTTTCCCACCAACAATGCACACAGGTTCTAATGTTTCCACATCCTTGCCAACATTTATTGTTATGCATTTTTTAAAATTTATAACCATTCTACAGTATGTAAAGTAGTATCTTAGAGTGGTTTTGATTTGCATTTCCATAAAGGCTAATAATATTGAGTATCTTTTTATGTGCTTGTTGTCCATCTGTATATATTCTTTGGAGACAGGTTGATTCAGCTTCTTTGATCATTTTTTTGTTGTTGTTTGGGTTATTTTGGATTATTTGCCTTTAAATTATTGAGTTTTTTCCTAAGCTATTTGTAGCTGTGTGGATCCTCTGTAAATCCAATGAAGCTTCAGCTTCAAAGCCTCACATTTGCAGGAGCCCCCTTCGAAGACCTCCAATGGTCTCTAGCAAAGAGAATAAAATGCAATATGAATAAAATATATCAATGTGTTTTATTGAAATTAGGGAAAAAATATTTTTATACAGGAATTGTCAAGATGGCTTCCTCTTTTCACACTAACTTCCCATCAGTGACACTTTCCTTCCACACTGTTGACTGATGTGAGGGAGGCAATATACATTTTGTATCCATAATTTTATATATTTTTTTCCTTAAAAGGATATCTAAATTATATAACTTTGGGCTTCACAGAACCAGGCTCTGCCTCCACTCGTATATAATAAATTCTAAGTTCATCTCTCCTGAGAGCCTCCTCTTTTGATTCTCAAATGCCTAGTTTGAAAGTAGAAACAAAATCCTCTGCATAAAAGTCTTCCTCCCTTTTGGCAAATTTTTGCTATGGGGCAACATCATTCTTATTTAGGTTCACTGTGGCCTCTGACTGCTGACAGTGAAAGTGAAATTTGCTCAGTTGTATCCGACTCTTTGTGGACTATACAGACTATACAGACCATGGAATTCTCCAGGTTAGAATATTGGAGTGGGTAGCTGTTCCCTTCTCCAGGAGATCTTCCCAACCCAGGGATCAAACCCAGGTCTCCCGCATTGCAGGCGGATTCTTTACCAGCTGAGCCATAGGGAAGCCCGACTGCTTACAGAAGGGTTAGGAAACAGTACTGTAGAATGCTCTCCTTTCACTTCTCCTCTCCTTTCAGCCCCTGTCATCACCACTCCTCTCGAAACAGTGGACGCCTTAGTTGAAGAAGTCGCTACTTTCATGTGTGCAGTGGAATCCTACCCCCAGCCTGAAATTTCCTGGACCAGAAATAAAATTCTCATTAAGTAAGTATTCTGCCTTTTTCCACCAAGAATGACCAAGGCTGCCTTGGGATTTATCTTTGTCATAAATGCAATCACAGCTCTTGGCAGTACTAAAGTTGACCTTCTAGAATATTTAAAATGTAACTCCTACATTTCATAAATGTAAGATCTGAACTTCTGTGAGGTTAAGGGAATTGTCCAATGTAAAGTGATTTAACTGATATGGCAGAGTCAGGGCTGTTTCCTAGATCCAGGTTAGGTCCTAGAGGAAATTTCACAGTAATTAGAAAACACCATGGTATCCTAATTTGGGGGGTACATGTTCCAGGACATCCTGGGGAGTTATTAGGGACCAGCCTCATCTCCTGTACTTTCAATATCCCAATCAAGTCATGCATGTTCTCTAGGAATCTGACCTCTAGGTAACTATTACTTTTTCTTTTGAAAATCAGAAAGGACTCCTGATGTATATAGTGAGGTAACCTCTCAAACAGTAAAATTTCTACTTGGCATATAAAGGTTATGCTATCCTTTCCTCATTAAATAGCTATCTGACCAAAAATACTCCAAAATATCTATAACAAAGGGAACCACTAGCTTTCTAGAAGGCCACATACCTTGAGTTAGGGCTAGAGTGTTTAACTGCTCCATAGGCTGGGGTCCGCGAACTTGGATAGGGAAAAATTATGTGTTTGTTTTCACTAAACTCTAATTGAAATTTTGTATTTCCTTCTATTATGTGTGCTGTAATGTGGGAAATTACCCTGGGCTATGAAGACTTCAAGTACTCTATCAGGCAAGTTATCTCAGAAATCCTGGAATAGGAAGGCTTATAAACCAAATTAAGATGCTTGAAATACAGTTTATTAAATCAATTTAAAATGCCCAATGAAACAAAAAAACAACCTACAGAATGGGAGAAAATATTTGCAAATTATATAACCAATAAGGAGTTAATATCCAAAATGCATAAACTGCTCCTACAACTCAATATCCAAAAATAAAAACAACCCACTCAAAAAATGGGCAAAAGAGCTGAATAGACATCCTTCACAAAGACATACAGATGGCCAACAGGCACATAAAAAGATGCTCAGCATCACTAGTTATAAGAGAAACAACAATGATATATCACCTCACACCAGCTGGGTCAACTATCATCAAAAGGTCTACAAATAACAAATATTGAAGAGGATGTGGAGAAAATGAAACCCTTACATGCTATTGATGAGAATGCAAGTCGGTGTGGCCTCTATGGAAAACAGTATGGAGGCATCTCAAAAAGCTAATAATACACGTACTGTATGATCTAGTAATTCTATTCCAGGGTATATACCCAGAAAAAACTGAAAACACTAATTTGAATAAGTACATGCACCCCAAATTCATAGCAGTACTATTTCCAATAGCCAAGATATGGAAGAAACCCAAGTGTCCATAACAGATGAATAGGTAAAGAAGATGTGGTATATATTTACAATGGAATCTTACTCAGCCATAAAAAAGAATGAAATTCTGTCATTTGCACCAGGGTGCATGGACTTAAGAGAATATTATGCTTAATGAAATAAGTCAGAGAACAACAAAGACTGTATGCTACCACCCACAGATGGAATCTAAAACGTAATACAAATGAATGTATGTGCAAAACAGAAATAGACTCACATAGAAAATAAACTAATGGTTACCAAAGGGGAGATGGGAGGGGAAGGGGAATGCAAATTAGGGGTATGGGTTTAAGAGCTATGTGTGTGTGTACTGTCGCTTCAGTCATGTCCAACTCTTTGCAACTCATGGGCTGCAGCCCTCTAGGCTCCTTTGTCCGTGAGATTCTCCAAGCAAGATTACTGGAGTGGTTTGCCATTTTCTTCTCCAGGGGATCTTCCCGGCCCAGGGATCCAACCTGCACCTCTTTCAGCTCCTGCATTGGCAGGCAGCTTCTTTGCACTAGCGCCACCTGGGACTACTATGTAGAAAATAAATGAGCAACAGGATATATCATATAGCACAGGAAACTATAGCCATTATCTTGTAATAACTTTTAATGGAGTACAATCTGTAAACATAATGAATCACTAGGCTATGTACACCTGAAACTAATATAATATTGCAAATCAACTATACTTCAGTAAGAAAGAGGAAAACAATTTATATTTTGAAAATTATAAATACTTGTGTCCCTCACAATCTACAAGTGATTTATATACTTTAAGCAGCAATGATACAACAGATTATAAATCTTTAAAGTTTCTATTTCACAGAGTGGTTTGACTCTTAGTCCACAAGCACATCTGTAAAATATTTCAATATTCACATTTTCCATGCAAACTTAAACACAGCAAAAAACAAAAGCAAAGCAAAAATTACATGAGAATCAGTATCATGGCTATCCCTAGTTATTTAATGTGATTTAATGAACTACCCAGTGATTATATCATCCTTAGTCACATAGATCAAAAATTACCATATCTTTTTTCCTCTTTAAGATCAGTGTGTGATGGGGGCCATCCATCGAATTCAAAATCAAGAATCCATTTCCTTTAAATCTTTTGTTTTCAGGTTGTATTATTTTTCCATTTCTACTGTAACAAATTACCATAAAATTAGTGGTTTGACACAACACAAATTTATTATCTTACAATTTTGGAGTTCAAGAGTCTGAAACCAGTCTCTTTGGGCTAAAATCAAGGTGTTGACAGGGCTGCATTCTTTCTGGAGGCACTAGAGGAAAATCTGATTTCTTGCCTGCATTTCTTGGCCCTTTGCTCCATTTTGAAAGCCAGCAACTGCATCACTCCAGCCTCATCACATCTCATTCTCTGATCCTCCTGCTTCCCTCTCCCATCTTTTAAGGACCCTCATTATGAGGTGGTGCTAGTGGTAAAGAATCTGCCTGCCAATGCAGGAGACGTAGAGATGTGGGTTTGATCTCTGGGTCAGGAAGATTCCCCTGGAAGAGGGCACGGCCACCCACTCCAATATTCTTGTCTGGTGAATCCCACGGACAGAGAAGCCTGGCAGGCTACGGTCCTGGTCGATAGGTTGCAAAGAGTCAGACACGACTGCAGTGACACAGCAGGCAAGCATGCATGATTACATAGGGCCCATCTGGATAATTCATGATACTCCATTTTAAGATTCTTGACATCTGCAAAATCCCTTTTGCCATGTAAGGTAACATATTCACAGGTTCTGGGGATTAAGACATGAATCTTTGAGGTGGCGATTTAGTCTGCCTAATTTATACTTGTTGCATAAAGCATTTTTATTTGGTCATAAAACTCAATTTTAGGTTGACATTTCCCCTCATATTTCTTTCCATTGTCCTAACTCCCTTCTTAACATTCAGGCTGCGTGCCATTTAGTGAGATAATATATGTAAAACATAATTTTTACAGTTTGAGCCTGTATTGCTCCCTATGTATTCCATGGAACTAGAACTGTGCCTGGCACTTGTTAGGCACTCAACAAACATTTGATTAATAAATGAACAAATACTTAGGCAACTGTTAGTTAATCCAATATATATATTTAACCTTTCCCTTTTTTTCCATTTTTTAAATTGAAGTATAATTGATTTGGGACTTACTAGGTGGCACAGTGGTAAAGAATCTTCCTGTCAATGCAGGAGACCCAGAGACGCAGGTTCTATCCCTGGGTCAGGAAGATCCCCCGGAGCAGGAAATGGCAAACTGCTCCAGAATTCTTGCCTGGAAAATTCCATGGACAGAGGAACCTGGTGGGCTATTGTCCAGGGGGGTCACAAAGAGCTGGACATGACTGAGCTACTGAGGACAGCACACACCTAGTTGATTACAATGTTGTGTTAGTTTCAGGTGTATAGCAAAGTGATTCAGGGTGTGTGCGTGTATGTGTGTGTATACTCTTCTTCAGATTCTTTTCCATTATAGGTTATTATAATATACTGAATATATTTCCTTGTACTATACAACAAGTCCTTGCCGTTTATCAATTTTATATGTAGTAGTGTGTATCTGTTAATCCCTTTCTGCTAGTCACATATGTGTGTATGTGTGTGTGTGTGTGTGTGTGTGTTCATTATCTAGCTGCTATTCCCAGTAAATATGGGAGAGGATTCATATCTTGGGTAATGATATACTTCCCTAAATAAAGTAAATTTTATGTTGGGTGGGTCTTATCAATAGACATCACCTTTCGAAATTATTTTTGAAGGACTCAGCACTGCTTTGATTATTGGAGCCTACAAAAGATTAGAAAATGTTAGCCTTCTACTCCCAAATAAGCTTATTCTATTATTCAGAACTTACTCGAGTTTCCTCTTCCCTTTAATCTACTTCATCCATTGGTAAATCATCTGCTGGATCATATAATCATAGTCAAAACAATTCGCAGATGGGGCCCTAACCTGCCATAATCGTCTGTGACCCACAGGCTCTTTGATACCCGGTACAGCATTCGGGAGAATGGTCAGCTCCTCACCATCCTGAGCGTGGAAGACAGTGACGACGGCATTTACTGCTGCATTGCCAACAATGGTGTGGGAGGAGCTGCTGAGAGCTGTGGAGCTCTACAAGTGAAGATGAGTGAGTGGGAAAGAGAATCATCCATTGATTTCTAAGCTGACTTGGTACACTTTGAAGCAGACAGTAAACAGAGCCTCTTGCATATCTGGAGGCTGGGCAGCCAGACAAGTTCAAGTTCAAATCACAACCTTGAGACAGTTTCACACCTTTTATTCCTGCCATCACCCACTACCCTACAGGCAAGCCTCATCATTTTCTGCCTTCTCCCATTTTCTAGCCTTTATTATGGCTCTTTATTTGCACCACCATGAAATCTTTCACCAGGAACTCCCCTTTAAAATCTTTACCATGTACCTTTAATTTAAAACAGTTTCATTACAACCAGACACCCTTTTAATCTCTGACCTCTTTGCAGACACTTATTCTACCCTTTTGCCTTATTTCAAACCTGAATTTGAGTGACTTTTCAAACTTGAGTGACTTTTCTGTTTAAAGGGAGGCTGTTTATTTCTTATCCACTTCAAGTCAACAAGACTAGCAGGTACTGATGGTTCATTGCTGCTTTTAAGCCATTATATTTTGCATTCCTGTGCAAAACCTTTCCTCTCATGAAGGCTTATACCATTTTGACCAATCTCTCTAACTCTATTCATCATCTACTCACTTCTAGGTCCTCTCCCATATTTCTCAAAGATTTTGATTCCAGATTTATTATCTTTCTATCCACTCCTACTCCTGCCATTATCCTAAGAGATTTTAACAGCCATGAAACAGAACCACTGTTCACTTCATCCTACAGCCCCTTGACCTTCACAAGTCCAGTGATGTTAACCTTAACTCTTTATCAGTCTATCCAACCTATGATCTTGGTACCTAGGAAATTAGGTCACATCCTGAACATGGACATTTCTATTTCCAGCTCTGTCTGATGAGTGAAATGGTTTCTCACACTCAGGACTTGCCTCCAAATGGAGGAACAAACTTTATCGGTCTCTTTCTCAGCTAAGGACAGAGTCCAGCTCCCTCATGCCCTTCTTCCCACGCCAAACCATCACCATCATGGTCATGCTCCTGCTCTTACCTCCTCTCTGTTCTCTGTTTCATTGACCCCACAATGGGCACATCATTTAGTTCTCTCTTCACTTCGTTCTCTCTCCTACCTGGCATCATCACGCGGACCTTACTAGCATCCTCAAATCTCATGAACCCTTGTGCCCCAGCACGTGATGCTTGTAAACTCTCAACCTTATAATGACATAAACTTTATTTTCTCCTGACATCACACTATTGATGGGAAAAATCACAGAAATATGCATATTAGCATGGTGGAATCCAGTTCTGCCTGTGACCTTTATTGTAAATTTTTGTTGTTGATTTTCATCACTATTTCTTTCATCTTTTATCTTTCAGTCTTGTTATTATTGTTTTGCTGGAGGAAGTCACTCACTGCTTCTTTTTGGTGTGAACACATGAGATGTATTTTGTGAATGTTTGCATGGCTGAAAGTCTTTATTTTGCCCCATTATTGAGTAAATAATTTGTCTCAGTACAGAAGTGAAGTGAAGTCGCTTAGTTGTGTCCGACTCTTTGCGACTCCATGGACTGTAGCCTACCAGGTTCCTCCATCCATGGGATTTTCCAGACAAGAATACTGGAGTGGGTTGCCATTTCCTTCTTCAGGAGATCTTCCCGACGCAGGGATAGAACCTGAGTCTCCCGCATTGTAGGCTGATGCTTTACCAACTGAGCCACATGGGAGTTTTAATAGGCTTTTCCTTTAGGTTTTAATAGACAATTATTCATTACCATATGACATTTTAGGTTGAAGATAAGAAATCTTTCTCTTATTTGTTTACACATAAATCTGGTATTTATCCTAATTTTTTTTGGATTTTTCTATTTCTAGAATTCATGTTTCAAACTGACAGGAATACAACAGGCTTGTGTTTTCTTTTGTTATTTCTACTTAGTCTTAGGCGAGCCATTTTGCTCTAAAAACCAAAGGTTTTTTTTTTCCCCCAAGTGAGCTACACTTTTTGTCTATTTTCTTCCTCTTCATTTGATCTCATTCTTAAACTTTTAATCGACCAATATTAGGTTCCTTTTTTTGGTTTTTTATAACTCCAAGTTTATCCTCATATTTTCTACATTATCTATCTTGATATCCTACGTTCTAGGAGATTTGCTTGACTTTTCCTTCTATTTCATGTATTTGGTCTTCAATATAACCAAGCTGCTATTCTGATGTTATCTTCAGTACTTTGACCTAGAGACCCATATTTTTAATTTCCAGGTGTTCTTTCTTCCCTGATTGTTCTGTTTTTCATAGCCAGATCTATGCGTTGCACAGTGCAGTATTCACTTATCTGAGGACACTATTTACACATTTTTTAAAACCTTTTCTTCCCTTGCTTTGCTTCTGTTTTCTTCATGCTAAATTTTGATTTTGGTTCTTTTCCTTCATGTTCATGGTCTTTCTCAGATATCTGTTAATCTTTTATGTTTATCACACCTACAGATGATGTCCAAGATTAACTGTAATAGGTAAGTTGTGAGGACATCATGGGAAAAGCTGATCTGGAGATTCTGAGAGTAAGTAGGTCAGGATGTACCCACAAATAGGCTTTCTTTCAGCATATGGGGCAGTAAGAACACCAAGTAAGGAAGAAGGATCTATTTTGCTGATGAATAAAAGTGTGATTCCAAAGACAGAGCATGTTTAAGTACTTTACTGCTTTGTGATACTCCTTTTCCTTCGAATATTGTTCGTATTCATTCTGGCACTAAATGTTCTTGATTTTGGCTTTATCTTAAATCCCCTTTTCTTCTTCTCTCCTCTTCTTTTCTCCACTTTCTCTTTAGGAAAGCTCAGCTAGTGTGGGTACACACTGGTGTGGCCAGCCCAGCTGTTAACATTTTGGAATGCTTCCACACTGCTTGCTAAAGAGCTGTTTCCTGAGATTCTCAAGGTCCCTACCCACACTGCTACCCAGGCCCTCCTTAGGGAGCCCCTGCCCCCAGATTCTTTATGGTCCAACAACTAAAGGCTGAATTTTGGCATTGCAGAACACCTCCAGGATCCAACCTCAACAGAATAACCAGTTCTGATTAGTCAATGCTCACAGCTCCACCTGAATCATGCTCCCTTAGAGTGGGGAATCCATCATTCCACATCGGTACTCAATTCATTCCTAGTTTCCTTCATCATCAACTACTCACAAAGTTCTCCTGACCTCTGATCAGTAGGTGGCAAAGATATCATTTCCACTGAGAAGATAGGAGTTATTTGCTTTAAACAAAGGTTTTCTGCCTAAGACATTATCTGTGACTCAGGTTTGCCATAGGGATCAGTTCAGGGAGCCCAATGAAAGGAATGAATAATACTGTCTTTGATTATATCACAGGCATATCAACTCCTGAGCTAAGCTTTGATCAGTAACTGTATGACAACTCTACCCACAATCAAGGTGCCTAGTCATTATCTAAATGTACATATTCATTGTCATTGATAAGAAGGAGGATTGTATGCTTTGCATAGCAGGCACAGTGACAAAGTTGATATTTTCCTATAACATGCTTAAAGCTTGTCTTGTACTTTTGCCAGAGTGCAGGATCATACCGCCTGTAAATGGCAATAAGTAACTAGATTAAAAATCCAACAAAACCATGTCCCCTCAACACTCAACACACACACAAACACACACACACACACAGTTGAAGTAGAAGGGGGAAAAAGTCCTTATTTCCTACTCTTCTATGTCAAAGCAACACATTGATTATGGCACATGACCTGAAAGAAGTAAAATGCATCTATTTCTCAGTAGTCTGTCCTGCTAGACAGACTCCATTTGATAGTTCTCTATTTGATATCTGTAACATAAAATTCCTAAGGAAATAAATTTAGTTTTCATTATTTTATGAATGTTTCACATAGTAAAATAACTGACATCCTGAACTTGTCAATTCTTCTATACACTAGATTTAATAACTTTCTCTGAAAGCTCAGTACCTGGAGAATAAAAATTAACTGACATAAACTATTTCTTCTGAAAAAATTAATTTAGGAGTGTTTCATAGTATATATACATAGTATATACTCTACTTTGCAGAGTAGAGTTAATCTGAATTGTATTACAGAATTTCTCTTATTATAAATATAGTAATATCTGATTTATTTTCTAGAGGACAAATGTATCTAATTTTTAATCATCAAATTTAATGGTCAAATTAAGATTGAAACTAAAGGGACAGTAGGTCATAACTCAGAATTGTATACAAATGTAAACATATCAAACCTTTATTTTCATATGTTTTCATGTCTGTTACTATGAATTAATGTGAGCTGTTACAGCAACAGCTTATTTTAATCAACTTCTTATTAACTATTTTTTTTCAAATAAGATAAAACAGAGCTAATCTAAATTTTAAAAAATTATTTGTTTGATATCCACTAAAAACATGGCTCAGCACTTGGTGAGTTCTGTATTATAATACACCTAAGAATATTTTTAATAGATATTAAGAATTAAGCATAAAGTTAGAAATTCTAAGTTTAGTAAATGCAAATTGCCTTTTTAATTTTTTCCTTTATTTTCCTTTAGAACCTAAAATAACTCGTCCTCCCATAAATGTAAAAATAATAGAAGGATTAAAGGCAGTTCTACCATGTACTACAATGGGCAATCCCAAACCATCAGTGTCATGGATCAAGGGGGACAGTGCTCTCAGGGTAAGTGATGATTATGTTAAAACATGTATACACAACATATTTTCAAATACAACAATCCTTTGCAAATTCAGTCACACACAAACTTCTAGTATAAAATATTTTCTATGCACAACATTTTAACCAAACCTAAATATTTTAACCAAATCTAAATATTTTCCATGCACAACATTGGAACCAAGATAGATAGATAGATATAAGGCATTCCAGTTGGGGCTGAGTAGGAGAGAAAAGAGATAGGGACCAGTAGTGTTAAGGATGATAAAAGAGGCAGAGCAAAGCTAAGCTAGAGTCTTCTTTGTTGGTTGGTCAGTTGGTTGGTATTTGAATTTTTTTTTTTAACATTGAATCTCTGAGACTCAACAGATTTTTTTTAAAAAAGGAACTAAGCTTCAAGTTTTAGACCTGACAAATAGCTTCTAGAAGGAGAGAGAAAGAAATGAGATTTGGAAGAAAAGGAATGAGAACATTCTGGAGTGGTTAGAGCATTAAGACTCAAGACTGGTGACCTTGACAATGACCTCAATCATATACAGTAGTCAAACTTGAAATACATTATTCACATCCTTATTTTGTACTGCTTTTGTATCCTATACCTACATTTATTGATAAATTACTATTCTGCATCATCATTGTCTCTTTCCATCCTTGTATAACCTACTATGAACTCAGTGAGGTCACAGACAATGTGTTTTTCATATTACTATACTCAAGAGTATTCCATGGGGGGATACATAGATGTTGATCTCAGTTAACTGAAATACAACATAATATCAATTAGCTTTGCTTTATTTAAGATAAAACAAATAGTTTTCATTTTTATGATAATCTATATAATTTTCTGGCTTTCTTTTGTTATATTTTCTACAGTAAAAGAAGGAGTGGCTCTATATATACTAGTTAATTTAGATCCCCAAGGAGAATACAGATGTGATATTTTAATTATAAAGACCAGTTTTTGTAATTTCTGTAGAGTTTTCCAACTTTTAAAAGGTCACATATTCCCCTAAAGATCCCACATAGGCAGTAAGTACGCTTGTTAAGAGCAATGATTTTAATCAAACAAACTTGGGTGTGATTTTTTTTAGATATCAAATTCTAAAATAAGACTTGTTGGTTTAGGACATCTGATAAGCCTTGGGGTCCTCATGTATTGAAAGAAAATAAAAATAACTATATCTTATGGCACTGTTATTAAAATTTGTTTTTATAAGGGAATCTTATACTATATCATTTATTATGGTATGTTATCCATAATAAATGTCAAATGTTAAAATAATATTCCTGATGAGTGATAATGATGACTTGATGAAACACAGCAAATGTATCCTTGACAGACTCATGTTCATGCAAAATTCATGTACCTATCTCTGCAGGAAAATTCCCGAACTGCGGTTCTTGAATCTGGGAGCTTAAGGATCCATAACGTACAAAAGGAAGACGCAGGACATTATCGATGTGTGGCAAAAAACAGCCTTGGGACGGCATATTCCAAACTGGTGAAGCTGGAAGTGGAGGGTAAGGAGCTACTGAGTGCAAAACTCTTTCCACCTTTTCCTGTTATAAGTCTTAGAATTAACCTCTCTGGTTCTCAATTTTCTTATCTGCAAAGTGGAGTTTATTGTGAGTATTCAGTGAGATAAATTACTGATAGTATTTAGCACAATGTCTGGCCCTTTATAAACACTCAACAAATGTTGACTATAAGAATTATCACTTCCTTTTCTGGTTTGCTGTTATCTGATCAATAAAGTGATTATCACACATTGACACAAATTACATTTCAATTGGGAAAGGTTTCACAGTTTCCCCTAGCTTGCTTTGATGTCACCTCTCTCTTAAGCCAAAATTGACCCCTTCCTACATTTCTTCCTTCCCAATCACAGTTTTCTATTAGCTCCTATAAGATTATCTTTATTGCCTAGCTAGATATTCTCACAGCTTTAATGATCTTACTTCTATTAACTGTTCATGGAAAGGAATGAAATTAGAGGAAATTGTGGTTGTCAGACATAAAAAGGATATATTTTTAGCACAGCTGCTAGAATTTAATATCTTTTAAATGATCAATGCTATTTAAAGCTCAGAATGCAACCACCACCTGATGTAACTCACTGAGTGAAAATTAAATAAACATACAAACACATTTGGTCACACTTTCAGACACAACGAATGTCTGCCTGGATTCAGTGTTTCCTTGAAATATGCATGGAGGGATACAGAATAGATCTTAGCCATTTATAAACAACATCATGAAGATTTTTCTCTTCAAGGCATGAAATATGCACCCTCTGATTCATAACATAAAACATTGATTGTTTAGGTTACTGTCTTCAAAGATAATGGAACAATTTGCTTTAGTTTCGGCCTAGAGAAAATGATCACAAATCTCATTAGTTGGAGCTCAATTACACAGCTTAGTCTTGCCTTGCCATTTAGTTTTGTATCATGCCTATGAGTAAAACTGAACACTCTCCTTCCTAGTATTTAAACAGTCATGTTCATTGTGTTAACAATTAATATATGTAAGACATTTTATTCAAGTTGCTAGTACTGAAAGCTCATAATATCATTTAAAGGTACTTTACCAGGATGTAATAAGCTCATTTTAGCACACATGTCTATTTCTACTTCATTCTAGTCCCTATTAAAGTAGTCAATATACATAAAAACATGTGACATGCTTAGCACAACTGCTGGTATATACTACGCATTTAGTAAATAGCATCAACTAAAATTATTACTATTAGAACATAAATATTGCAGCAAATCTGTTTGGGCTCTTGAAGCTCTGTGAGATTGGCTTCCACTTAAATAAATAGTTGAGGCTTGTCCACAAGATATAACACAGACATAACCTATTTAAAAGAAGGGTCAGTTAAACCAACAACACAGAGGAGATAAAAAGGTACCTAAGAAGTCACTGGAAGAATCCCAATATGCCTGCAAATGCCTGCTGTCTTGGCAGCCGTGAGGGCTGAAGAGGAAGCAGGGTCACTCAGGACAGATGAGCGTTTGTTACATATTGTGTCAGTAACGCTGCAAATTAGTTTGAGCAAATCAGAACGAGAGCCCTGTCAGTGCTATCTGATGCTGGGCTACATCTACGGCAAACAGGTATGCCAGGGAAAGACAGGGTTTGTCTGCTGTCATGAGTGTCTAATGAGGTTAACCTTGCCAGTTTATATAGATTTGGTACAGCGTGTTCACTAAACCTTAGCAGCCATAACAAAGGTGAAAGAAATACCCTTGGACACGGAAGTGAAGCTCCCTCTCTAGACTGCCATCCTCAGGCTGCTGGGTCACTGGAATGGTAATATAAAGATATTTTAGGGGACTTCCCTGGTGGTTCAGAAGTTAAGACTCTGTGCTCCCCATGCGAGGGCCTGGGTTTGATCCCTGGTCAGGGAACTACATTGCACATGCAGCAACTAAGACCAAACATAGTCAAATAAATTAAAACAAAACAAAACAAAACAGGCTCTTTGCTATCCTAGCTTATGAAAAAAGATTCTACCTTTCTGCCTTGCCTTAAAAGGTTCAAAGGGTGGCATGCAAAATTACTGATGGAACAATCCAATTTAACCATGACCAAACATGGATATCTTTATAAAATGATGAACAATGTGATGTCTAACATTTTAAAACACTAAATGCTTTACAGGGATTATTTTATTTAATTTTCACTAGCAGTCAGTGAGGAAGGGCCTATCATTGTACCATTTTAGGAAACCGAGAAACACACAGGATAACTAACTCACTCAAGGCTCCACAGATAGAGGCACCTAAGCAATGGAGTAATGCCGAGTACAGTCTGTTCTGTTAAATAACAGGAGGATCATGTGTAACATTGTCAAGATTAGCATCAGAATGGGGATGGGGGAGGAAGCCAGAATTCTGTGAATGAAGGAGAAGGGGAGTAGAAGAAGAGAGATAATAGATGTAGATTTATTTTTTCCCAATAAATTTGGCAGAAAAAAGAGATGAGTCCAAAAAGTGAGCAGTAGCTGGAAGCCTCGTTGGCACACAGGTAGTGTGGTTTTGCATAATTTCTCTTTTAAAAATGATTGAAATTTTTAAAAAAAAATTGGCAATGTTAACTCGAAACATCCCACCCTCACCTTCTCCCACAAATCCATGGCTGATTCATCAATGTATGACAAAAACCACTACAATATTGTAAAGTAATTAGCCTCCAACTAATAAAAATAAATGAAAAAAAAATAAAAATGAGCAGGAAAAAAAATTGGCAATGTTAAAATATTAATGAGAAGGAACCCAGAGAGAAGAAAAATTTGAATATACAGGAGAGAGGCTGAATATTCAAGGGACTGTGGTACTGGAGAAGGTAAGAGAGATGAATTCAGCAACAAACTTTTTATGGGGGTGACCACATGACCCAGTTTACCCTGTTCTGGTTTACACCTGTCATCCTAGAATAATTATTAATAGAGTCCCTCTTTTACTTTCAAAAATACCCTGGTTTCAATGGTAATTGCATGATTATTGTACTTAGACAGGAAAAAGAAACAAGTTTCTTTCTTGTAATAGGGAGAAAGGAGAAAGGGGGTGTATTCCGGTATAAATGAGTTCATAAATTAGGTGGATGGAATTTGAGAAAGCTCTGTTCTGATGGGCTCTGTTTCCTGTAGGAAGTAGGAAGTAAGATTATCTTCTGAAAATACTCCTATAAAGGGGGGCAGAGGGATGAGGAGGTTTTTAAATAGCTGTGGAGAATGGGGGCGATGACTCACAGGAAAACTAGGCTTGCTGGGCAACATGCAGGTTTCAGCAGAGAACAGGACTAGGAATACAGACTGGCAGCAATTTGCTTCATTCTAGGTTTTTCCTGCAGGGTGGCACAGCAGGTATAAGTATAGGTATAAGTCAGAAAAAATAGAAAGCCAAATCCAAAGGCAAGATATAAGCACTGGAGCTTTGCCAGGAAGGAAAAGAGGGCAAGAAAGTTGAGAATATTGTGAGAGAATGCTTGAAATGATGACTCATGGAATGTTTATGTACTAAATACACAAACCTGGGATCAAACACAGAGCTCCAGCAACATGATAGACAAGATAACATGAAAATCTTTCTACTACAAACATTCAGAAATGCCAGGTTAGTTGTATAACTCATAAGGAAACAACATACATTTTCTGAAGTCAAGAATGAACAGAAATTTGCAAAGCAGAGCCATAAGATCATGGGGTCGTTGGACATTGTCCTCCATGTAATAAGACAGGTGCCCATTTCTTTAATGGGTAAGGTCAGTTTTTAAGACTCTTAAAGGGACAGAAGTTAGTCTTTTGCCCCTGTGAAGTGGAAGCTGGCATTGATACCCTTGTATAAAGCTGAGAACCATAGAAGTAAAAAGGTAGGCCAGCAAAGTTCTACCCATCAGCAAGGAAAGGCAATACAGAGGCTTGTCTATCTCTCCATAAGAAGAAAAAAGAAGTTTTCTTATGAATGAATATCCAACACTCAGGACTATATCTCAATTATACTTTTTGAATTCATGCTGCCAGCACAGCCAGTTTAGGAATCCCCAGCTAGAGAAATTAACATATGAACTAGTCCTAGGTCTTCCAAAGACATAGAGATGGCCAAACAGGCACATGAAAAGATGCTCAACATTGCTAATTAATACAGAAACACAAATCAAAACCACAATGAGGTACCACCTCACATTGGTCAGAATGTCTATTATCAGAAGGTCTACAAATAATTAATTCTAGAGTAGGTGTGGAGAAAAGTGAACTCTACTAGGCTGTTGAGGGAAATGTAAATTGGTGCAGTTACTATGGAGAAAGAGTATGGAGGTTCCTTAAAAAAACTAAAAATAGAACTACTATATGATCCAGCAATCCCACTCCAGGGCATGTATCCAGATAAAATGAAAACTCGAATTTGAAAAGATACATGCACCCCAACATTCATAGCAGCACCGTTTACAATAGCCAAGATCTGGAAGCAACCCAAGCGCCCATCAACAAACAACTGGCTTAAGAAAATGTGGTATATATACCCTGGCATATTACCTGACTATAAAAAAGAATGAAATAATTGTCATTTGCAGTAACATGGATCTAGAGAATATTATACTTAGCGAGGTTAAGTCAGACAGAGAAAGACAAACACTATAAGAGTCATATGTGAAATCTAAAATATAATACAAATGAATCTACATACAAACAGAAACAGATGCACTGACACAGAAAACAAACTTATTGTTAAAAAAAAAAAGGGAGGAGGGAGGGAGGGACAAATAAGGAATGTGGGATTAATAAACTACATAAAATAGATAAGCAACAAGGATTCACTGTATTGCACAGGGGAATTACATTCGATATCTTTAACCTACAATGGAATATAATCTGAAAAAAATAACTGAATCACTTTGCCGTACACCTTAAACTAATACAATATTGTAAATAAACTATAATTTAAAGGAAAAAAATAGTCTCAGGTCAGAAATTTTAACAACAAAAAGGCTGAAAAACAAAACTCTTTGCACAGGTTAGGGTTTAGATAAAGCCACACTGAGCATGAATTCACAATGCAAAATTATCACATCCACAGGAAACAACCTGCCTTGAGTGAGAGGTAGCTAACACAATAAATAAAGAGATTTAAGCCCCAGGAAATCCAATTAACAACACAATATAATAAATACTCTCAAATGAATATGTTAAAGTGAAACACACAAAAGGAGGAATGACAAAAAAGAAAAATACATCAGGAAGAAGAAAGACAAGCCTGATAAAGAATTAAATATAATTTTAACAAGTGAAAAATACAAAGACTAAAGTTAAAATTCAGTGGATGGATAATGGTATATTACCCAAAGTAAGATCATCACAAAGTTGTTTATAACAGCAAATTTTTAAGTATAATTTAAATTTGCATCAATAAGAGGCTGACATTATGTGATGAAATTTGTGTGAATCATTAAAAAGGATGAGATCAATCTATAAGTAGTAACTTCTATAACTATCCACCATATATGTAACTTGGGTATGTTTCCTATCTGAAATTTCAGTTTCCTCATCTCTAAAAGAGGGATAAAAATAGCACCTACCTCTTAGGTTGCTATAGTGACTACATGAATTATTACGGCACACAGAAAGCATGATATAATTATCAGCTGTCTTTATTATTAACCATTAATACTTACATAGTGCTTACCATGTGCAAGTGAAAGAGAAAATGAAAGTTGCTCAGTCGTGTCCGACTCTTTGTGACCATATCAAGGCACTATCCTATTTCTTTAGAAATATTAACCATTAGAAATATTAATGTTTTCATAAGTAAAAAAGTAAGTCAAAGAACAGTATGTTATATATTATACATTGCGTTTCCCTGGTGGCTCAGCTGGTAAAGAATCTGCCTGCAATGTGGGAAACCTGGGTTCGATCCCTGGGTTGGGAAGATTCCCTGGAGATGGGAACAGCTACCCACTCCAGTATTCTGGCCTGAAGAATTCCATGGACTGTATAGTCCTTGGGGTTGCAAAAGAGTCAGACACGACTGAGCGACTTTTGCTCTCACACATTGGAGTAGAATAGCAGATTGTTAACTGTCATCATCTCTGCATACAGAGTTACATGAAGGTGGTTACCTTCCATCATACACTTTATAAAGCTTTAGACTTTCTGAACTTTTATAGAGGGACCTTTAAAATTAGAAAGAATGAAAGCTTGTATTTATGCTTTGGAAAAAATTACTTCTTCCAAATATACTATTTTAATCAAGTGACATCAACCTTTCTGTTCATTGGTTTGATAGACTATTTTTGTATTTCTGTTGCTCCATTCTGCTTTAGAACAAATACAGGGGTGGAAAAAGTTTTGTCAAAAGCAGTTGATTCCTATATTGATTCCTATATTGATATTCACTACACTGGGGTATTGAACCAAAGAATGTTCAGGGAGGGGTCATAAGAAACAGAACATGGAAACTTCCATTTCTTTAGGGGAGGAATTAATCCATAAAGACAGCAAGCTGAGAAAGTAAGGAGCCAATTAGATGGAGTGGGAAGTGAAAAGTTTCAGAGAATGGCAGCTGCGGAGAATTCTCTTCTCATTTGACTCTTCTTTCTTACTTATGAGAAGAAACCTAAAATTCATGATTCTACAGTGGCTTGGAGGATCCCAGCTAAACTTCCATTTGGGTTCTGATTTCTCAATGAACATCTTCTACACTTGGTTAGGTATTATTGATTCATAGGGAAAATAAAGGTAAGTTTCCTCAGAAAAGTGAAGCACTCCTGGGTGAGAACTATATAGGTATGGTGACTTTCCCTTGGTAGGGAAGTCTTTGGTTTCCAGATCCCATATTCACCTGGAAGGCAGAAAAGAGATATCAACCCTGCAACTATGGAGGATCTTCCCCTGGAAACGTCAACCCCTCTCTCAGGAACCTCTGTGACAATGGGCTTTAGGACAGACCTCATGGCCGGATAGATAAGGGCCAGAGAAATATGAAACATATCATGTTTCATAGAAAGTTTCACTTTCTAAGTGCTCATTTTAAAATATTTTACCATATTTGGAGTGAATACCCAGTCATTGGTTTCTTAAAACAAGCATTAGCTGATTTTTTGTTTCTTTATCATGCATTTCAATATATCAGGAATTGAAATTTGTCTTACCCAGCTTAAAGGCAATCCTACCTCATTTGTGGCTCCTGCCCTTTAGCTAAGAAGGTTCCTTAGCTGTCTCCAAATACGAGAATGAATATACAATTATAGAACAAAGATAAATCAATCATATTTCCCAGAAAGAATTCCTTATATTTAACTTCAGATATTGCTTCTGTTGAGATCACTTTTAATTAGTTTCTCACAGAGGTAAAAATATCTTTTTCAGCAGCATAATTCCACGTAGCCTCACCCCCACTTGCCACATCTGAACAAGGATTCTTACTGCATTAGTTTTGTTTGATTGAAAATGGACAAAGTTAACTTCTCAGGGCTCTAGAGAAAAAATTACCTTATAAGTCAAGAGACAGCCTTGTCTCTTTCCAACCTACCTCATGTTCTACCTTATGAGCACCCAAAGAATGATTCATATCGTTTCTCCTACGTTCTAACTGAAACAGATTTCCCCCGAGTACTCTCAAGTACTCTGGAGCACTCAGTGGCAGAGCGATACCACCTTGAAGGACGATGATTTGAGTGATAGAGCTGGAGTTATTAAGGAGAGACTGCCATCAAGGCAGGCTATGAATGACCTCTGAAATACCAGAGTCTTGTTTTACTTGCCTGATTTTGACCTGAGGGACATTCTTCCTTTAAAAAAATGTGCTTCATAAACAACACAGAAATTAAATATGTTTAAGATGATAATGTAGTCTTTTTATAGATAGAAAGATTATTGTTTTGAGATTTTTTTAATCATTGGGAAAGATCTATTTAAAAAATTACAAATAGCTAATTTTCTTATATTTCCCTTACATTCTTACATATTTCCCTTAGACTTCCCTTATATCCTTCAATTTAATAATTATGAAATGATTTACTTATTTGGAGATGAGCACGAATCTTATGCATTCTTTGAATATAACATCCAGACAAATCAAGCTCTGTGTTCAGAAACTGGTTGAGTGTAGAAGACTTGAGACCCCAGTTAAAATAGATGGATATTGGAATGGACTGGGTTTCCTGGTGATGGCATGTTCTATTACTACCTCATTTTCCCTTGGGGCTTTAAGGCATTAAGGAAAAGGTTGGGCAGAAGGGAGGCTAACACCAAGGGTTTTCAGTCAGGGGCCACCAGTGGGAAGAGGGTACCCGGCACCAGCACAGAGCCCAAGATGAGAGCCCAAGAAGCAGATCCAGAAGAGAACAGAACCCCTCTAGGTAGAGGGTTATTGTGGGCTCCTCTAATGTTTAAACAACTCCTTGTTTGCAGGAGGCCTCAAAAATAGACCCATGTCTCCACACCTGGGAGAGGCATTTTGGGGAGTAAGGAGGAAAGGTGAGCCACCTGGCAAATTTAATTGGCTCCCATGAAATCGTTCCCAACACTGGTCAGGGTCCTTATTGCTCCTGTCAGTCCCTTTCTCTGCAATCTGAAAAGCTTCACCATATATCCTTAGGAATAACTTGCTCTGTGGGAGGCTTCTGTTGTTGATTTTTTGCAGACACACAGTATATAAAATAAGTAGAATTTTAAAAGACCAAACAAATACGTATGCACATAGGATGACCCCGAGGCAAATGTCAAGAGATCTAAGAGATCAGGACTGTTTTCAGAAATGTTAGACTTCTGTCCATCTTCTTTCCCAGAGATCAGATTTCCTTACTGCATCTATAAAAGTAGAAGTGAACATGTAATGTTTACACACATTTGATTTGACTTTTTCCTTTGTTTACGCTGCAGCTCTTAATATGACAAATGCCACAGAGAGAGGTATTTAAACCCCCAGTGTGTGCTATGCTCTCAATGATTGCAGTTTTAATAAAATTTGCAGTGGCCCTGTTCCCGGCATCAGTTCTACCTGTTTGATGCCACTAACGGGTTTGATTTGCTGTCATGATTACACTGTGTAATTAAAAACCAAAGAAAAGCAAGAGGCATAAACCTTTGATATTCCTGGGGGCTATCATAGGGAAAATTAAATCTGCATGATTCATAGGGTGCATGCTCTCAGAGAAGGGTTTGACCCATTGATTTCCACTTTAGGGGAGATTACGCTGCATTCTCATCTGAAAAGTTCCGTAGTGTGTTCAAGTAACAATGGTAACGTGGTCCTTTATTTGAAGAGTTGTCGGTAATGTTCTCTAAGGATAAAAAGAGTTGTATGATTATGCACTGAACATATAATACTTCAAGGTAAAGAACAGTTAGATTCTCTTCAATTGCTCTGAAGAAAAAATGTGCTGCAAAGATTTTTCTTCAGTTGTTTACGATAATAGAACTGATACAATGTTGACAGTATATTGTTTGAAATGAAATTGAAAAGTTAAGGAACTTAGTATACTGGCTAATAACATGGGTCTTAGATTGTAGAAAACTGTCTGGGCTTCAGAGTCTAGAGCCAGCTGCTTAAGTTCATATCCTGGCTCCAGCATTCACCACTTCCGTAACTTCAGGTAGGTTACTTCCTCTCATAGTGCCTCAGTTTCCCTATGTGTAAAATAAGGTGAATACTATGTCCTATCTCATAAGTTGCAAAAGGATAAACCCAAATACTACATTTAAAGCTCCTACAAGAGTGCCTGGCACAGAGTAATCACTCAAATAATAGTCATTAATGCAGTTCTAGGACTAATGAAACTTTAGTACAACAAAAGCAATGACTTAAGCACTTGGGAAGACATTTACAGCTCTTTATTTCACATGCCATCTTTATCTTTGAGGTAGAAGCAGTCAAGTTCAATTGCAAAACTAAATTTTTATTTAAGATACAGTTGATGTTTTATTAACTTTGGTTTTATCAGAAGAGTAACCATACACTTTAAAACTTGAAAGGGGCCCTAGAAGTTATAGCTCAATCCTGTAATTTTCAGTTAACGAAACTTGAGACCAGAAAAATGATAACTTTGCCCAAGTTAGCCAAGAACATGGATGGCTTAACCCCTAAACCAGGACATCTTTTACAATCCCATTCTTGAGTCTTTTCTTTCTCTATGTTTATGTTACATAGACGAGAATTCTGGAACATTGACATGCTTTAGCATCAGATAGACTGAAGTGTTAATCCTGACTCTGCCACTTACTAGTTACGTGAAGTTGGATAATTTATGTCACCTCTTTGAGTCTGTTTCCTCTGTGTGAAATGGAGCAGAGAGTTCTTAAAAGGAGCTGGGATACCATGTAGATACTGTATGCATCTACCAGCTCTTCGATAAATACTGACTGTTGTTGGTACTGTTGTCTTTCGTTTACATTGTTATGAAGCTGGATGACTTGTATCCAGAGAATATTGCTGGTTAGTCTTCTCAAGTTTCAGAAATAGAATGTCAACATTACCAACTGCTTCTCTTGCTTCCAAAGAATATAAATCTACTCTCAACCAGCAATGCTTTGTCCCTGCATTCTCGATACTTGTTAGAGATTAATAACTTTGGTTTAGCCCTATTGTGACAAGTAACATAAGGATGCTTATCTAAGGTGCAATATGAAGATATGCCTTTACCAGCAAACTGGAAAGAGGCTGTATAGAATCAGCATGTCCCCTACCCAAATAATATAATAACATGAAAGTCAAGGCAGGCTTAGTGCAGCTTACATCCCAAGCTTACATCATATTTTGCTCGCTACAGCTGTTTGCCAAAAACCTTCTTGAAAATATTGATCATTCCATCACTCACTGCTCTGAAAAACATCTTAAGTGAGAAACTGCTTTAAAAATTTAGTGGCTTGGGAGAAAAAAAAATGGTCTCTCTTGAGAAACTGGCATTTTGCTCTCTTTCCTGTAGTGAGAACTGTATACTTTATTTTTTGCCTTACCTTGCATGTTTTTCAGAATCCAACTTGAAGCTTCATCATAATATTTGTTCCACTAAACCAACAAGAGGTCTCCTTTTCTTGAGACGAATGTGTTGTTATTTAATTTACTGTCACATCATTGATTATGCTCACTTCAAAAACCTCTATGGAAAGAGATGGAAATAACTAAGTTGATGGACTAATGGAACTCTTGAAGGTAGTGGTTTTCAAGCATCAGTGCACATGAGATGCAACCGCAGATTTTATTAAAAGACACAGCTCCAGGTAGATTCCCCAGAGGTTCAGACCGGATGGGTCTCTGTTAGGGCCTTTTAACAACCTCCCAGATGATCCTTACATAGGCAGTCTATGAACCACACTTCAAGAAACATTGGTTTAAGAATTTCTACCTGGAATGTCTTTAGTCCAGATGAAAGCTTAACAATTCAAGGAGAGAGTTAGCTTATTCACCATTTCATGATAAATATTAGGATAGCTTCAAATTTATTCTTTTGCTGAGTGCCTACTATATTCCATGAAATGAAGTGAATCCAAGGATACAGGGGCTTCCCTGGTAACTCAGCTGGTAAAGAATCTGCCTGCAATGCAGGAGACCCCGGTTCGATTCCTGGGTTAGCAAGATCCCCTGGAGAAGGGATGGGCTACCCACTCCAGTATTCTTGGGTTTCCCTAGTGGCTCAGCTTGTAAAGGATCCACCTGCAAAGGAGACCTGGGTTCGATCCTTGGGTTGGGAAGATCCCCTGGAGGAAGGCATGGCAACCCACTCCAGTATTCTTGCCTGGAGAATCCCCATGGACAGAGGAGCCTGGCGGGCTACAGTCCATAGCGTAACAAAGAGTCAGACACAACTGAGTGACTAAACACACAGCACAAGGATACAGGATAAATAAGACATGGTTCATTTCTTGAAAAGTGTCCAAATTTAGACAGAAAGATGGACATGCAAGCAAGGAACTACAATAATTAGAGTTCAATATATTTGCAACAATAGGAGTTTGGGCAAGACACACACACAGGACAGGGGAGACAGAGAGAGATCAGGGAAAACTTAGAGAGATGAGGTCCAACAGGGCTTTGATGAATGAACAGCAGCTCATGCTACAGACCATACACCAGTGAGAGAGGAAAAAATGAAGATTTATCATGCAATCACAGGCTGACACCAACTCCTAACCAGGAAGTTGAAGATGGTCTAGAGAGTTTGGTTAGTACCTACCAGAGGTGCTATGAAAACCAGAATGAGCTACAGTTTGACTCACAAGCTATTCGAGTTTATACACTCTGTCATCTTTTGTTGGACATAATTTTAAAATGAGTCTATATCTACCATCTCATTGGCGTGGTAACATACAGTTTGGAGGTTCTATGGTCCTATTGGGGTATCCAGAATTCTATTTCAAAGCCTATCAATATGTTCCCAAACCGAGCCACTTGAAACAACCAGGATATTATGGTGTCATTTAAGATTAAGGTTATAACTACTGTTTCTTTTCCCATTTAAAATTTCTGGTTAGCTAATAAGTAAATAACTGTTTTGAAAATTCTGGTTCTTATTAAACTTCAGCTTCTTTGCCTGCTGTCAGAGCTCAGGTATCTTCCTTTTCATAAGATTAGGTCAAAATGTTACTTAAAAGTAAACTAAGATTTTGATACATACACTGTGGTTATGTAAGATGTTAATGGGGCTTCCAGGCGGCAGCAGTGGCAAAGAACCTGCCTGCCAATGCAGGAGATACAAGAGATTTGGGTCCACTCCCTGGGTTGGGAAGATCCTCTGGAGTAGGAAATGGCACTCCAGTCCAGAATTCTTGCCTGGAAAATTCCATGGACAGAAGAGCCTGGCAGGTTATAGTCTATGGGGTTGTGACGAGTCAGACACAACTGAGTGTGCACACACTATGTAAGATGTTAACAGTCGAGGAAACTGAGTGAAAAGTACCTGGGGACTTTTTCACTTCCTTTACAACTCTTGTGTAAATCTAAATTTATTCCCAAATAAAAACCTTCGGAAAGGGTAAACTAAAACAGGCTTCTGTCCTCATCATTAAGCAGTTTAGCATCTCCTCCCATTAAAACCAGAAAATAATTATTTTAAGAATGAAAAAATTGAATCGGAGCCGAAAGTCAACTTTTTTTCTTGGCTTACAGTTAAACTTGTAATATATTTTCAGGACCATTTTAACAAAAATATTCTTAATAGCTACTCTCGTTACATCTAGGACTGAAATCAAAACAAGTTAACTTCATGTGGTTCTTGCCTGATTTCCTTGGTAAACACGTCTTACTCACAGTCATTTATTCATCATCCATATTTACAAGCTAAGAAAATGTTATTATCTCAAAGGCCACAGAAATGTTCCCGACCCAAGCCACTTTAGAGAATAGGAATGTCACAGAGGCAGGCCAGCCTGATTATGAGGAGGGAGTCACTGTTTGTGAGGGTACTGTGTATGTTTTTTTAAAGGAACTTGTGCTCCAATTCCTTCAGAGATGGAGCCACAGTGGATAAACCTCTTTATGCATTGCTCAGCTTCAAAGGGGACAGAAATGTAAACAGTGGCAGCACACGAGGATCAAGTTTCTTTGCTTTAGCCACCAAGAAGTCAGGAAAGAAAATCAGGTATTTACTTAGGTTTATCATTACTATTATCAAGCTTTCTTTTAATGATTGGAAGACAAAAGAAGAATCTGTTCAGAAACAAAGTACCACAGAGTCTCACTATGATTAGTTTCAACCACTCTTGAGCCACTTTTCTCTAAGTAAAAAAATTAAGAATTAAAATTACCTTTCTTCTTCTTTGTGGTGGTTGTCTACTAACAGGCATCTCTGACTCCATAATTCTGAAAATACAATGTTTGATGAGACATCTAACCTATTTAAGAATAGATTCAAATAGTCTAATATCAATTAGCATCTATGTTTTAATAATAGGATCTGAAGAATGAATTTCTCTTTCTAGAGTGATTCTTCTCAGACAATTGAGGAAAGGATTTAAGCTCATGCTTTTAACACCTACAATATATGGGATGCTGCCTGCTAAGGAAGACTGAAATTTAAAATAAGATAAAATAGCCTTCTACCTTTGAAGTCAGTTGGAAGAACAGCTGTCATCAGTCAGGAAGACACCACAGAGGCCGAAACAGGAAGGAAGGAAGGAAAGGAAGGAGGGAAGAAGGGAGGGAGGAAGAGCAAGAGGAGATGGCTTCAAAGTCAGCCTTCAGTACTTTCTAGCTATGTGTCAGTTGCTATATTAACTTCTTTGTACAGATCATTTTACTTAATCTTCTCCATAATCCTACAAGTTGGGAGTCGACATGTTCTGCATTTTCTGCAAGAAGAGACTGAAGTTCAGAGTTGAGCAATAGCACAGATCAAACAGCTAGTAAGCAGTAGACTAAGGACCCAAACTCAGATCTGCCTGCCTGATTTCCTATAAGGGGTCCTGTACACAACTGAAAGGAAATATTATTTTGATTTCCCAATTTCTGATTATGTTCTTAGAAAAAGTCCTAGAATGGTATTCTTACAGTACCAGATGGTCAGAGATTTTCTTAGGATATTGCCCAAGAAGAAAATTATAAATGTCATGCTACAAAAAGCAAATAATGTATTATTTCAGCCTCCATTGAGACTTCAAGTCTAGATGGCCAGATTCCTGTTATTTCTTGAGTTTCCTCATTCTTGCAGTCAGAAGGATGGAAATCATCTCACACGTGTGCCTGTTTTCTCTTCTGGTTTCATTCCTTTCTTTCTGTAAGATCTACATGACCTGTATCAATTTACTAAATGTATTCTTTTTATCTCCACTGGAGAACTTTGATGACTTTCCCTCCACCCATATAATAATACATTCCCCTGCCCCTACCCCAGCTTTCTTCTCCCATCAACTAATACAGTGAGCTGAGTAAGAAAAACTTAATTTGCCTTAGAATCAAGTCATATTCACACAGATACACATTCAAAACTGAGGAGATAGACTTTAATAAGAGCAAATATAAAAATGAGTATTGGATATTCTTGACTTTTAGTGGAATCAATGACCTAACTGCATCATTATATGAAATGCAAATAAAAGCTTGTGCAAATTTATATTCACAGAGGTAGAGTATTTAGAAAGAGTCATACTATTCACTGAATTTGTGAGACTCTAGGTGTGTTAGTTTTAGTTTCAGGTACCACAGATAAGAGGATAACTTATGAAAAGAAGGAAAGCTAAGCAGTTCAAAATTGAGAAGTCAGGATAGTAAACTGGGGTTAGCATGTTGGAAAAATGAAAATATTTGATGGATTTTATTTTCATTTCTGTCCAGGAGGTAGAAGTAGGAACTAGGTCTTGTGGGTAGTAATTATAAGGAGACGGATTTTGGTTTGATTCAGGATGTATATGTACCTATTTTTTAAACATAGCTGTTTAAAATGGGTTGATACGATGAAACTAAGTTCTCCATAAATCAAACTATTCAAGAAAATGATGGATATACTGTTTAACTTGGATGTTGATTATATCTCAGATTATTCCAATATGAGAAATCTCAGACTCTCCATTTACTGAACAATCCCAAGAAAGCAGAGAAGGAAAATGAATCACTATCCAACACTCTATTCAAAGTATTTGTACAAGAGGCTGTGCTGGACTTTAGGGGAAAAAATGACACAACAAATGTAAAGTATGCTATGTTGCTCCCTCCTCCATCCCACAAAGATTACAAATCACGTTGGAAGACAAGACCGATGCATTACACATAAAGTAATTGAAAGAGAATGTATCAATTAAATAGAAATAAAGACCATGAAACAATATATGTAAAATTGATAAAAGGTAAAACAGTCAGTTCAGAAGTCAAGAGGGATGGTGGTAGGATAGGCAAGCAAGCTACACAGTAAAATCAGGACTACAGTCTGACCTTGAAATAACAATCTCATACACTGGGTGAGTGTATGCAAACTTAAATAGTGTGCAATACCCTTGCATATTTTTCTCTAATTTAAAGTAACCTCAATTGTGTATGCATGTGTGTGAATGTGTGTACATATGTGTATATATTAATATATAGTGTATATAAATATGTATATATTTATATACATAAAGAATCTGCCCGCAGTGCAGGGGACGCAGATTCAATCACTGGGTTGGGAAGATCCCCTGGAGAAGGAAATGGCAACTCACTCCAGTATTCTTGCCTCGGAAATCCCATGGACAGAGGAGCCTAGCAGGCTACAGTCCATGGGGTCACAAAAGAGTCGGACACGACCAGAGCAACACATAAGATACATGCTTGAATTTGTGTGTAAAAAGAAATTTTGAGAATCGATATATGAAAGTTTAATTCCTGGTGGGACTTCCAGACTTCCTTTCAGGAAAATGGCAAATCTTAGAGCTTCAGTGATCTCCTGAGTTGGTTCTATAGATCTGCAGTGGAGGAAACGGGCGCATTCATTTAAGACTGCTTCCAATTCCAAACAATTCAAGCAAAATGAGCAATAATAACAGTAACAACAACAAAGTGAAAGGCAGCAAAGGAAAACTCAGCATTGCCCTCAGAATCTACTTCAAAATATAGTCCAGTCCAATAAAAGACCATTGGTGTAAAATTACAAAGAGGCTGAGGGTTTACCTGCACTTGCTCTAGAACCCTAAAAAGAGCAGTGTAAGAGATGATGAGTAAATAAGGTTCTCAAAACTTACGGAGGTCCTTCAACTTTAGTGGAGCAAAATTTTGGAGACATAGCAGTCAAATAACACAGATACTTAATGTTCCCATCTAAGTCCCCTGCCCATCTCAGGCACCCATAGTTATTTTGCTTGTTCCAAAAAAACGGTTGTTTCCCCCTACCCCTAATCCCTGCGAGCTTAGAAATAAGTGCAATTGTGCTAAGGAACTAGAAAGACATGCTCAGCCCAAAGACATTCAGGTATAATTTTTCAGGCCCAATCTGGTCCAACTATGGACCTTCATTTATTTCTTCTGATTAAGGTCTTTGTTCCAAGCAGGGACTCTCTGCAGTTTTCTAGTGTCCAGATGGACCATTTTTCAGTATGGAAAAATCTCATTTTTATCCAATATGACCCTGATATTTTAAAAAAAATAAGAATGTGTCATGGACTTGACCGATAGAGTAAAATCTAGCTGGGAAATTATAAGTTCACCTAAATTTAAGAGTATTGGGCATTAAGTATAAAAATGAAGCTTTCTCACTGTGATGCTAGGTAGAACAGAAAACTTTGTGTCTGAAAGCTGGAGAGGCATTTCTGGCTTTGCATCTGCAGCAACTCTGTGAGTTTCAGATTCCTTGTCTGAAAAATGGGCTAAATAATATCAGGTATGTGTCATCATAGGGAAACAGCTAGCATTAAATGAGATAATGTACAACATGTGTGAAAATACCCATAACCTGTAAGGAACCATACCAATGTATTCTTATTTCTAAAAGTAGATTAACAAGAGCATTGCTATTTTATGCTATAAATAAATATTGCATTCGGCTTATCACTAAATCAAAGAAAGGTCTATTCTAACTACACATCAATTTAAAAAAAAAGAAAGGTCTAAATTGACACAAAATATATCTTCATGATAGAAAGAGAACGTGTGGGATCTATCTTTGATTTTGTTGTATTAAACATTTTGGAACAATTAATTTGGTGGTTGTCTCTTTTCTATGATTTTTAAATATTGAAAAATTCTCAATTCCATATACCCAATTTAGACATTTTTATATTTTTCTTTGTAGCTTGCTTTACTGTTCTTTTTCCCTGAAAGATAACGATGAGCTCCTCTCTGCTCTCTGGGCAGCCTCTGGGAATCAATACAGAGGAGAGAATCTCTTTTGGTTGTAGGCTCTGTTCTGCAGAAACCCCCTAATCCTATTTACCACAACAGGAGTCTATTGCCATAGAAATGATAGCTGAGATCCCAGATTCAACATCACCGCCTTCACAGCAGGGCCTCATAAGAGGAGAAGCCGCACTAACAAGGAGAAACACAATCACTACTACTATTATCAGAATAGTAGGCAGTTTGTTGCCTTGAAAGAAGGGGTAATTGTCAACGATGAAATTAAAATGCATGAATGAGCTATGTTGTTGGGTATGCTGTAGTTCATTTTCTGTGTGGTACTGCCTGACTAAAAGCAATAGTTTGAAAGTTTATGTCCTTTAACAGTTTGCTTTTAAAAGGTCAGTGGTTTCCCTTCATTGCATTTGTTTCTTATTGAAATAAGAAACAAGCAGATTCTGATTCATCTTGTACCGTAACATTCCTGTGCTCAAAGATTTTCCTTTTCATGACGTGTTGTTTTTGTTTGTGTGTTTGTTTGTCTTGTTCCTATTAATAGAAGAGAGTGAACCTGAGCAAGATACTAAAGGTATTTTTTTTTCTTTCTGCACTGCTTCTTTTATAAATGTATGGTTTCATTCAACTGTTTATTTCTCCAACCTTACAAACAACTCTGAGTGCCATGATTTTATAAGGAAATAACAAACGATGTATGGGGAATATTAATTCAGCATTTAACAGTGTTATTAGATGGGCTGCCTTCTATATAATATAGTTATTGAGGATTTACGTGTATTAAGAAAAGCTTGAATGAACAGAAATAAACTTTGTATCCTAGACTCTGAGAATGCAAACAAAATGAAATGACATAAATCAGCATGAGAATATAAATGCCACACAGACTAGAACGGAAAGTTCCTCTGACCAAAAGCCTTAGGGGTGGGGGACCAGGAGGTGAGGGAGTTACAACCTTTGGAGACTTGTAAAAATGTCAAGGTGCCAGCTTAGATTTTTATTGTTATTACTTCAAGTGGACAAGTATTATATAACTGCTCCAAACCAAACCAAATCAATCAAACTGTTCTAACTTTTGTATATTTTGGATGAAATTCACAAGTTCTCATATAATACAGTTTGGCTTTAGGAATAAACCCTAGGCTGGTATTCTTTGAGACAGCCCCTCCTTATCTAAGTATTTCAAATAAGGTATCTGAGATGTTTTCCTATTTAAACATCATGCTGCTTATAACTAAATCTAGATAAAATCATTTCACCTGCATCTGTATGATTCTGAGGGGTTTTTTGGTTTATTTTTAGTTTCAGTTTTTGTTTGTTTTCAACTTATTCTTCTCAGTGCTGGTTTGAATCAAGTAACAAAAGATCTCTTTAAGAGAGGCTAGAAAAATAAGAAAGAAAGAAAAGAATGAAAAAAAAAATACCATGCAAATCCATGCAAGCTCATTATATCCTTTGAAGTAATTACTCAGAAATACAATTTACAAGGGACTTAAATATTCTTCTGGTCCCACTCCCTTTCCAAGAAAAGAGAAGCAATTCATTTCAAGCCAAACTGCTTATTAATTTCAAGATTTAATTTGGGTCCCCTGCCTGTTAGGCTTTCCATTACACCACCAGTGAAATTTTAGAGTGAATAATGTTCCATCTCCTTATTACAAATTCAGATTACCCCTTAAAATGACAACCAAAGAGAAAATTTATTATATATCTGAAAGTATCTTGAAAAATGGAACAAGAAAGAGGAAGCAGGGTAGAGGGAGGCAGGGCAAGACAGAGGGAGGGAGGAAAAAAAGAAAGAGAGAGAGAAAGGAAACGAGAATACAATATGGTTATGTTATAAAGGACTTGGAATCACTGGCTGCTTAAGTCCAATTTTGAATGCAGGATTTGCAACCTGCAGTTATTAAAGTAAACTTATCCAGGAGAAAGTAAAGCCCCAAACTCAGGACTAGACGCCGTGAAAGAAAACCCAGGGATAAATAGATTGCCCATGTCTATTTTACATGTTGCAGATGAATAGTAATGTGCTTGCCAACAGGAAAGCAAGTGGGAAAAAGCTCACAGTGAATTGGAGAATGACGATAAGACCATCTATAGAAAGAAGAGTTGAATAATTTTTTCTTTAAAAATCCATATCAAAACAATTATCAGCATTTTCCAAATGACCAAGTAATGCCATGCCCTTTCTACTAAACAGCTTGTTTGTGTTACAAAGCACTTTTATATTGTCTTTCATGCAAAGAAAAGGTGAAATAGGGATATTCAGGGGGGCATTTATTTGATATGAAACCTATCACATTACTTTTAAAATGGATGACTTAAAACAAATTTTCAGTTAGTGGCTACTGCTGAAGCAATGGGAGTTTATTATTGAACTATGTTTAAATTTATTATTACAGGTGTATTGTTATCCATGAGCAGTTTGACATTTATTTTTAATGGCAACTGGCTTTTTGTTTTTTATGTTTGATAAATGTGGTGAAATTTCTTTCCCCGTCCCATTACTTTTTATGCTTGGAACTGGTAACAAATACTGATGGGTATAAAATTATCAGCTTTATTGCTGATAAAGCTAGGTTGAAAAAGAAAGCTTTCTCTCCCTTCATCCAAAAATTAGATTCATGTAACTTCTAATTCCTCCCCACACCCTCTACCTTTCACCTGGAGTTGTAGGATGGAGAAACCCCGACCTGGGGAGCTTACCTGTAGGACATTAACCCCATACCCTTTTTGTTCCCTGGATAGCTGGAAGAAAGATGACCCAAAGAGGACTGATATATTCATCACGTAGACAAGTCCCTTTTCCCAATTCATTCATTCAACAAATATCTATTGAGTTCTCACCATGTACCACACGGAGAAGGCAATGGCAACCCACTCTTGCCTGGAAAATCCCAAGGACAGAGGAGCCTGGTAGGCTGCAGTCCTTCGGGTCGCTAAGAGTCGGGCACGACTGAGCGATTTCACTTTCACTTTTCACTTTCATGCACTGGAGAAGGAAATGGCAACCCACTCCAGTGTTCTTGCCTGGAGAATGCCAGGGACAGAGGAGCCTAGTGGGCTGCCGTCTATGAGGTCGCACAGAGTCGGACACAACTGAAGCAACTTAGCAGCAGCAGCATATACCATACAGAGTTCAGGATCGATTGATCAATGAATCAATCAGTCAATTATCTATCAATCAGCTTGTGTTAATGAATAAAGCAAGCTCCACCCTTCTGATGCTTACATTCCATGAGAAGAGACAGCCAAAACACAAATTATGCAATTGAGATGCAGACATAGAGAACAGACTTATGGACAAGGGTTGGTGAGAAGAGGGAGAGGGTGAGATAAATGGAGAGAGTAGCATGGATGCATATACATTAACATATGTAAGGAGACAGCTAAGGGGGATTTGTTATATGTCTCAGGGAACTCAGACTGGGGCTCCGCGATAACCTAGAGGGATGGGAATGGGCAGGAGGTGGGAGGGAGATTCAAGAGGGAGGGGATATATGTACACTATGGTTAATTCCTGTTGATGTATGACAGAAATCAAACCAATATTGTAAAACAATCATCAATCAATTAAAAATAAATAAATATTTTTAAAAGCTAAAATCAAAGCAAAAAACTATAAAAAAGAAAAAAACAAAACAAAACAAATTATGATGTGGTATGAGGGGGGTGGGTCAAGACAACATTATGAGAAGAAGACAGTTGGGTCAAAATCCAAAAGCTGTTTGCCGTCTTCTTTGAGAGGTAAACTTGGAAAAGGCGAAAGCTATTCTTCAATACTGAAAAAAGAGGCAAGTTTCTATTTTATATGGGCTTCCCTGATAGCTCAGTTGGTAAAGAATCTGCCTGCAATGTAGGAGATCCTGGTTCAACCCCTGGGTCAGGAAGATTCGCTGGAGAAGGGAAAGGCTACCGACTCCAGTATTCTTGGGCTTCCCTTGTGGCTCAGCTGGTAAAGAATCCACATGCAATGCAGGAGACCTGGGTTCAATCCCTGGGTTGGAAAGATCCCCTGGAGAAGAGAAAGGCTACCCACTCCAGTATTCTGGCCTGGAGAATTTCCACGGACAGAGGAGTATAGTCCATGGGTTCACAAAGAGTTGGACACGACTGAATGACTTTCAGGGGCTTCCTTGGACTTCCTTGGTAGCTCATATGGTAAAGCATCTCCCTGTAATGCGGGATACCCGGATAGGATCCCAGGGTTGGGAAGATCCCCTGGAGAAGGAAATGGCAACCCACTCCAGTACTCTTACCTGGAAAATCCCATGGACAGAGGAGCCTTGTAGGCTACAGTCCATGGGGTCGCAAAGAGTCGGACACGACTGAGCGACTTCACTTTCATTCTATTTTATCTTTTGACAAGAAGGTGGGAGTATAGGAGAGACCAATTTCCCTTTACTTCCTGGCCTTTTCCCCTCCTCTTATCCCATAAGGCTTAACAATGAAACCCATGGTCAGCCAAGGTCTATCTGTCCCCGTGGAGAGGGAGACCAACAGCTTGTCAACACAATCCTACATTCATGAAGCCACTTGCAGTACCAGCAGTGGTCTTTTCTGTACCCTCCTGTGTCTCACTGCACCAGAAGTTTCTGATATGGGGCACGCAGCACATTAATTAAATGAACTCCAAGGCTCTGTTGACCTCTAGAATGATAATGGACTGTTTTATTTACCATCTCACATAATTCTTAGCTGTGTTGTGCAATATAGGTCATCAGAGGTTTCGCAATGAGCCTGAATGATATTCCAAATAATGTAATGCCAGCCAAAAATAAAAGCAAAAACAATAAATTACAAAATAAATAAATAAATAAATAAACCTTCCCTTATTACTAAATTTCCAGGAAGAACTTAAAGTCCCAGATGAAAATTCTTGCCTTCGAAAATTAAAGCAGAAAAAAAATCTAAATTTCATACTTTTCCAGTTTCTCATGCTTCTCATCTTCAGCCAGAAGCTTCTAACTCAGGTTCAAGGATACACTGACTAGTGTCATCTTTAGCAGCTGCTGTCCACTCTTTTCCAGTGTTCATGGAATTGAAATAATCCTACTCTCAATCTCTCAAGGATCCTGCCTTTTTTCTTTCCAGATTCTCAGAGGCAATGGAACCTATAAAATGATCATCACAGCAGTCTCACACTCACAAAATTCTGGACACACAAGTTTAGCCCTAAGCTCTACAAAAGCTGTTTCAGCCAAATGGTGAATGTGGACTCAATTATGTTGTGTAATCTAAGTCTCCATTATCTTTGTGAAAACATCAGAAAGGAAGAGAATCCCTGGGTGGACTCTCATTCAGATGCCCGTCACTCTGTATTAGCTGTCAGGGGTCCACAACCTGTGAATTAGGACTAAGCTCAATCAGGTGCTCAGATGGAATACACTTTTGTCACTCTGAAGGCAATATACACGGCCTCCGAGCTGGCTTGTCCTCTTGGGATATTTAGACTTTCTAGTGGGTATAGCTTATGTCATCTAGTCTTGATTGACACTTCCTATAAACCTGTCCAGCATATTTGCAATTTTTAAATTTTCCATTTCACCTTAGAGCCTTGTGTTTCTGGAACTCCAGCAGAAGTGCAGTCTTCACTCCCTATTTTAAGCAAGCATTTTTAGCCCTGACTACCAGGCTCTCAGAACTGGCTCCATAATTTGTGGACTGGTTGCAAACGACAATACAGGGCCCCTCATTCAACAACCACTTATAATTTTTAAAGACACAGGCAGAAGAAAAATAAACCAACCATGAGGCCCTCTAAGCATAGGGCCCTGGGAGAGTATACCGGTGACTCGTTCTTGAAACTGACCCTACTGACCACCATGATGACTGCTACTCCTCTTGCTATGGAATTTTTCAGGTTGTAAATACTGCCTGCTAGCAAAAAAAAAAAAAAAAAATTTAAGCCTACATTTTGTTTTAACTTGTAATCATCTGCCACAGAGCTCTGATCTAAAACTGTTGTGGTTACTAGGCATATACCCTGAGAAAACCACGATTCTAAAAGATACAAGTACCCCAGTGTTCACTTGAGCACTATTTACAATAGGCAGAGCATGCAAGCAACCTAGGTGTCCATCAACAGATGAATAAGAAGTTGTATGTATATGTATATATATCTATCTATCTATATATATATATATATATAATAGAACATTACTCAGCCATAAAAAGAAACACATTTGAGTCAGTTGTAGTGACATGGATGAAACTAGACCCTGTTATAGAGAGTGAAGTAAGTTAGAAAGAGAAAAATAAATATCATATATTAACTCATATATATGGAATCTAGAAAAATAGTACTGATGAACCTATTTATAGAAAAGGAGACTCAGGTATAGAGAATGGACCAGAGGATACAGCAGCGGAAGGGGAGGCTAAGACAAAGTGAGAAAGTAGCGCTGACATACACACACGATCGCATGGAAGACGGATAGCTAGCAGGAAGCTGCTGCGTAACACAGGAAGCCCGGCCCTGCGCCCTGTGACAACGGAGAGGGATGGTGGGGGGAAGGAAGACTCAGGAGGGAGGGGACCATGTGTGTGCTCAGTCACGCAGGCCTGTCTGAATCTTTGTGACCCCACGGATTATAGCCTGCCCAGCTCCTCTGTCCATGGAATTTTCCAGGCAGGAATACCAGAGTGGGTTGCCATTTCCTCCTCCAGGGGATCTTCCTGATTCAGGGACTGAATTCACTGTGGCTCCTGCATATTGGCAAGTGGATGCTTTACCACTGAGCCACTCAGGAAGCCCCAGGAGGGAGGAGATACATACATATAAAATTATAACTGATTTGTGTTGATGCGTGGCAGAGAGCACCACAACGCTGTAAAGCAATTATCCTCCAATTAAAAAAGAAAAGCTGTTGCGGTTATTTCTGAACGCTCAGGACTGAGATCTGTGTCCAGGGTTTGTCCTCAGAACCCTATCCTTCTTCAGGTTTTAGGTTTTCTAGTAACTTACACTATTTCAATGGCAGGAGAAGTATGTGTCCCCTGACATGTTTCTCTGGAGCTGTGGGGTAGGCTCCACTGCAGCTTTAAAAAATTTTAATGTTAAAAATATTTTTAATCTTGTAAAAAAGTTGACACAGTAATCACAGTACTATTATCCAATAGCAACAGTGATCAATAGTCTGCCATTTTATCTAAGCAAGTACCATTTTATGGCTGCTAGTTTATTTTAAAGCAAATCTCAGACATAAATTCAATCAGTGCACATGTACTTTTAAGGATTTTTAACACAGTCACATTACCGTCTATCCCCAATTAGCACTCGTTTCTTAATACCATTTACTACTAGGATTGTGCAATTTTTATCAGGTTGTCTCTAAAATGTCTTTTTATATCTGATCTGTTGAATAAGAATTCAAACAAGGATCCACACATTACAATCGGGGCTATGCTTCTTAAATACTTCTCAGTCTATAATAGTCCCCTCATTTTTTTTTTTTCCCTTCCAATGTTATTTGTTTTTTGGGGAAACAAAATATCTTGCCCTGTTCAACTGTCCATATTTGGGATATGATTGAATTATATCTTCATAATGGCTTTTTTAAGAGAACTAAATACTCTTTCTATTTACTTTATTTATGACTGCATCACACGACATGGGATTTGCAGGATCTTCCTCGACCAGGGAAGGTATCTGTGCCCCCTGTATTGGGAATACCAAGTCCTAACCACTGAACCACCAGGGAAGTCCTCTCATAATGTTGTATAACATGTTCCTCAACCCTCTCTTCTTTTGTATATTGGTGATTAGACCCCTGTACTTAAAATCAGGCTCAATTTCACTTTCATGTGGGGCACAAGGGAAAGATTCAGCTTCATTTTAAACATTAAATCCACTCTTTTTAATTTTTTAATTGAAGTTGGCACCTTTGCATTGAAGGTGCCAAAGTTGGCACTTTTGCATTGAAGTTGGCACCTTCCTTGCTTTCTCTTTCTCCTGGCATTCTGGGTTCAATGTTTGTATTTCTAGCATGCTCTTTCAGACTTCATCTCTCAGAGTCCTCCATATCAAAATATAGGAAAGTGAGTTAATCTGAGCATGCAAATCTGAAATTAGAACCTGCATAAAGCATGCAATTGTCAAACAAATTATGTCCTCCCATATCTCTTCAAATTATGCAATCCTTTTAAAGAGCTATTCAAACCTCAGACCAACTTTTAATACAGTTGAATTTGATCTTTCTTTGTCCTGTACATCTTCTGTTCAGTATATACTGTCTCTTCTGTACCTTCCTTTAGAATACAAAAGCCACAAATTTTACAATTTTAGAACCAAGCATCAAAGCATTGTGTTAACGGGAATTTCATAGTCTAATATTATGTCTTGTACTTAAGTCCTAGAAAACAAAAGGCCAGAGCAAAAAAAAAACCCTTATATTTGCAATCAATGGGTAATTAAAAGGATTACATAATGATTTAGAGAACACTGGATTTGAAGTCAGAAGACTTGAGTTCAGGTTTCTCACTCATAAGTTTTATTACTTTGGGGAAACAAATTAACTGGGATTTTATTTTTACATCTATTTAACAAGAGCAGAAATTAGATGATTTCTGAAGTCTCTCAAGATGAGTGATTCTGTGATTCTAATATCCCTCAATTTATTGTACATTCTGAACCTCATCTCCACTCTTTAATCAAAGGTAAAATTCTTTTCACACTGAAAGAACTTCCTCTTATCTAGTTAGTGGGCATTCAGCCTTCAGTTCAGTTCAGTTCAGTCGCTCAGTCATGTCCGACTCTCTGCAAACCCATGAACCACAGCACGCCAGGCCACCCTGTCCATCACCAATTCCCAGAGTTCATCCAAACCCATGTCCATCGAGTTGGTGATGCCATCCAATCATCTCATCCTCTGCTGTCCCCTTCTCTTCCTGCCCTCCATCTTTCCCAGCATTAGGATCTTTTCAAACGTGTCAACTCTTCGCATCAGGTGGCCAAAGCACTGGAGTCTCAGCTTCAACATCAGTCCTTCCAATGAACACCCAGGACTGATCTTTAGGATGGACTGGCTGCATCTCCTTGCAGTCCAAAGGGCTCTCAAGAGTCTTCTCCAACACTGCAGTTCAAAAGCATCAATTCTTTGGCACCCAGCTTTCTTTATAGTCCACCTCTCACATCCATACATGACCACTGGAAAAACCATAGCCTTGACTAGATGGACCTTTGTTGGCAAAGTA